TTATTTTCAAACATTCCTTTGAGAAATGAAGTATGCTAGAGAATGGCTTTTGAGTCAGAGAAGCCTGGGGTTAAATCCTGATTCTACCACTTATAAGATGTTCAAGTTAAGTAAGTTTACTTAATGTCTCACAGCCTCAGTGTTCTCTTGTGCAAAAAGAAATAAAATGACTGCACTGTAGGGATATTCAAACTGAAAATGATGTTTCAGGGAGTTTTGAGGGCACAGAGAAGTTACTATTAGGAAATAATTAATTGGGGCTGGGTCTGTAGCTCAGTGGTAGAGTGCTTGCCTAGCACACACAAGAGGTTCAATCCCCAGCACAGAAAAAAAAATCAGATACAAACTCCACCCCCATATTAATTTAAATATGTGACAGCAAATGATAACAATGAATAACAAACCTTTATATATAACAAACCCTTTAGCTAGAGAAAATATGAAAAAGGAATAATGTATTAGGGAGTTAAGAGTACTGTATTCAAATTTATACTCAAAACCACCATTTACTTTTCTTGATTAAATCCCACAAACATGAATGATGATGTGCAATAAACAACGGAAAATAGAGGTACTATAAAATGACAAATATGGACCCTACAAATATGTAGAGTCATTGGAATGAAATAGGAGGCTTTGGTGGTCATTTTCTAGGTCCAGCGAGAGGGTGACAAGAAATATAATGCTCCCAAATTTGAACTATTGGGAGCATCACCAGCCAGGGTGAGAGCCTTGTGGCTCTCAAGGCAGACAACAGTGCTGACCTCTCAGGAGAGTGGCAATTTGCATTGCATGGAGTAAATATAACCACGGACTTCCACTTCATATGTGTATGTGATTTCCTTTGAAGGCAAGAGGATTCAAGACTCAGTCCAGATGACAGTAATTAAACTTTCTTAACTAATCACTGTGAAGACAAATTTAAAATCATCACTGGGGTTCTAAAAGTTACTCTATTTCAACTATGCTTCTGAAGAACATTCATAGTCAATGAGTCTAGCACATGTAGGTAGCTCTAAGTCAAACTGCACGGTCCACTGAATAATGGCAAAAAGTAGAGGGTGGACCAATTATAGCCTCAGCAGGGACAGCACTATGTGAGGGGAGCATGCTGGGAATTACCCTCCACTCTGCTTCTGGCAACAAAATCAATTCTGAATCAAATCCACACTACTAAACTTTACTCAGCACTAAACCTAAGTCTCCACTTATTAAGATCATAAGTTGCTTCTTCCCAGAGTTAAACTCAAAGTATTCAGAGTTTTTCTGATTAAGAATCTTTTCATCAGCAATACCTTGGGCCATACTATTGATGAGTGTTAATGAATTACCATTAAGTGTTAGTCACTATAAAGCAGAGGAGATTAGGTGAAAAATATGACCTTTACAAAGAGGCTTATGTTTTACTTTCAAGGTATGGTCATGAGTAATATTATCACCCTAAAAAATGTTGTTAATATTTTCCCAATAACCTGTTTTTCAGTACATTTCTGTTCCTATTTATAAGCATTTTATAGATTTTCATTAATCTTTCCCAACTGTTGTTTTAATCAATCTAATCACTTTTGTTTGAAATAAAATCAAGTCCTATTATTTTTACATGTGAGATTTTATAAAATTAACTAGTCCTCTCTTCCTAGGTTATAGAACTTTTCAAATACATACACTATTGGTTCACTATCTCCTTAAGTGGTAAGAGTAAGGAAGAGTAAATACTTAAGATTCACCAATTTTTTTCCAAAGCGTGTGGTAGACAATAACCCAAATAGTTGTTGCACTGCTGTGTTGAAATAAAGCATTTTATCACTTTTCTAAGATTACTTAAATTCAAAAGATTTGGGCCAAGTAAATAAATTTCTTTGCTTGTCTGTACTGATAGCAAGAAAAAATAGGCATAGTTATTCTTAGAGACCTTCAATTAATAGCTACTTCTGAAAATCACTTTGTATTTTGTAATGTGGGTTAATAGACTGTTAGCTAGAGAAAATACAGCAAAGGAAAAATTTGTTAGGGAGTTAAGAGAGTTGTATTCAAATTTATGCTCAACTTTGTTTTTCATTTTTTAACTTTCATTGGCAATTTGTTAAGTGGAAAGTATTGTAGAAATTTACAATAGTGTTTAGATGTTGATCATTCCAAATTAGTTATGAGAAGACATGAATTTTGATGTTTAACATCAGACCTATTATGTCAATGAAAGCCAAAGCCAAGATGAAAGATAAAAGCCTATACTTCCTCATTCACCCAGCACATATTTGCAGAATTTCAAGTCTGTAACGCTGTTTGTGAAGTATATATAGGGAGAAAAAAATGTCCCCTCTCTCCCATGAGGGTTAAATGATTGAGGATATGAAATAAAGTGATGGGTTGGAGGTGTGGCTCAAGTGGTAGACTACCTGCCTAGCAAATGCAAAGTTCTGAGTTCAGCCCCCAGTATTGCCAGAAAACAATTCTTTATGAAATAAACTGACAGCAGACAGATTAACAGGACATAAAGTATATGCTCAGAAAGAAAAGTGAATACCCCCAAGTCCAGTGAGGTCAAGAAATTATATTCTCTCTTCATAAAGGAGAGGGAAAAGGAAATGATTTTGGGGAGAGATGAATAGGCCCAAAGAATTGGTGCTAGCTAGACAGTGATAAAGTCTATCTGGGTGTGGTGTAGCCTTCCATTCCCCCTCCTCTGATCCAAGTAAATGCCACCTGGTTCATGAAATTCCCAGGGATCAGACTAATGACAACCGAGTTCCTCCTGAAGGGTCTATCTTAAGGCAGATAGGGAGAGGTCAGAGAAAGCTCCTCCTGACATTTGCTGCTCCCTGAGAGCCCTCAGTTTGACCAAGGGGATGGCATATCCTGAACTCTTCAAGTACAACAGTAATAAAAATATTTAAGACAAAGTTTGTTCTCAAGGAGCTTATAAGAAACTGTCAGAATAAACTGGGTAAAAATGCTGGTGGTCAGTATGAACAGGACATCTTATGAAAAAGACAAAACCAACTCCACACTCATACTTTGAATAAAGCTATAGAAAGGTCTTCACCTCTAAAGTGTGAAATTATGGAGACCTTTCAGCTTCCCATCCAGTTTTTATGACTTAGATTTTTATATGCACGTATTATTTTTATAATCAGGGAAAGAAATCAAAATCAAAATATTTGTCTGTAATTAAACACTGCAAGAGAACAAATGAACATAAAATATTTTCATTTAGGGTACTGGTGGTTGTATGGGTAGATTTCTGTTTTTAAGTTATTGTTTTGTCCAGATTGAATTTTAATGATAGATTTAATTCAATGAAAGAAGTATATAGAAAGTTTGAGTTCTTTGATTTGAATAATCTACTTTACTACGTAGGAGTAAAAGTCATTTTTATTTCTAGAGTAGAGCTGTGAATTAAGGCATACTTCCTATTTCTGTTTGTAATATGTTTTTTACAAATTCTTGTCTGATGCCCAGTCTAGATAGAAAATGGTAAAATAAGTCTCTGTCAGTCTACTTGTAGACTTTACCATCTATTATTAAGGTAGCTTTTCCATATCATTAAAATGGAACATGGTCATTTATAGCTCCCTAATTTCCAACTGCTTTCATGATATTAACATACTATCCTAAAAAATAATTAAACCAATTTCTGTCTGTATTTCAGAAAAGCATCAGCAGTCTTGACCTTCATGTTTCAAGAAGGCCCAGCCTGTTTAAATGAGAACAGGTCTTTCTTTACTTCAGCAAGTCCTAGTCACATCACTGACCATTTTTCAAATTCTATAATCTTATTTTTAGTATCACTTCAGGCTAAAATCATTCTTTCCATAAGTGGCAAAGATTGTGATATCTTTGTAGCTTTTCTTATTTAATACAACTCCACTGTCACTTTATGTGAAAAAATTCTGATGGAACATAAGAAATTTCTTCTTAATGAGGGATTATGTCCTTCTGGCCATGAACAATGGGTGTCTGGTACTTGCTAACTCCATTTAAAAATTGAATTATTTTGTAAAGTTAATTGTGAATTTCCAAGTATCTTTCAAGCATTATTAAATTCATTTGTTCATTCTGCAAGATGATGGGGGAGGTGAAGCAGGGAAAGCTCTCTGACTTCTTCCCACGCACAAGTCTGACAATGCAGAACTGAACCAGTAGAGAACATACTTAGCAGTTACTTGAGTTTTAATTAGGGCCTAATTCAAAATTTCATTTTCATGGCAGTTGTGTTTAGAGTTGAGGCTTCATGTATATTTTTTGGTCATAACATTTAAATACTTCTATTTCCAAAAGTCACATTCATCAGAGTCCTAAATAAGGATACTATACAATGAAGAATTAGGTCTAGGATGTGGAACTGAACAGAAATGAAAAGACACACCATACAAGCATATGCCATATGACCAAAGAATACAGACACATGCTCAAAGGAGGTAAATGGGAGAGAGCCAAGGGTGGTTTCTCCAGCTAGCTAGCATGACTGTACGTCACCAAACAAGAGGGAAAGAGTTGGCTAAGAATGTATGAGGATGCACAGCCTCTGACTTCACAGTGTTTACTTAGATTTGAAATGACTTTAGATGCAATGACATGGTAATGTAGCTTCTGAACTTTGGAGAAAACATTATTTATTAAAAAAAAAAACAGATCACAGTGCTATTTTTGTTTACCTCTAAAAGTGTAAATCACATTTTGATGCAGTTCTTAGAAATTACTGAAAAGAAAAATACTTTCACATTAAAAGTCAAATAAAAGAAAAGAATCTCCTTTTGGTTCTACAACAGATCAAATTATCTCTTAAATTATTGTTTAAACAATTAATATCCCCCTGACATACCAAATTTTAGTGGTATTTGCAGTGGTGAATTACAGCGCTCACACCCAAGAGCCATGCCAGGGGTAAGTTGTCAATGGTAATTTAAATTAGCCTCATTAGTTTATTATCATTTTAGCTGTACCTAGAATGAAGGCAAAATTCAACAAAGAACCCATAAAATGAAATGATGCAGACCAACCTTTTATTGCACCCACAATATTTTGGTCTAGTCCTTTCCGGTTGTCATTCAGTCCTCTTTTCCTCTTCCCATTGGGTAAGGAGTTAGCCAAAGTCTTGTCATCAAAAAATGCACACACCAGTTTTCTAAAAAGAAGGCTTCCTGAGCGAGTGTAGTTTGACAATATAGAGTCCAGCTGAGATTTAGGCATAAACACATCAAAGCCTTCAGCAAGTTGCACTTCTGGCTACCAAAAGAACAGAAATATTTCATTAAAAGCAAGATTTGAAGCATTTGATTTTGGCCAAAAGTGCATCAAAAATATTACTTGCTACTGAAATGTCCATATAGTATATGATACAGTCTTGGCTTTATGTTCAAGTATTTGCAACTTATAAAACCAATGACCAGTTATAACTCATAAAACAAGGTATTCTCATTCCTATACTGTCTTGTCCAAAGCCATAGAAAGAGGGCTGGTGGAGTGGCTCAAGTGGTAGAGTGCCTACCTAGCAAGTGTGAGGCTCTGAGTTCAAACCACAGTACTGCCAAAATCATAGAAAGAAACACAATGAAAAAGTATTCTTATTCTATGAACAGTTAAGAGAAGGCTGGATGATCACACAATCATATAATTCTATATCCAAGGGTCTTGAGCCTCCTACATGAAACTCTCTCATTTTGTAAAGGAAGTAAAGCCCAAAGAGATCATACCTAAAATGAATTAATAATGACTCAGATGTGCTCAGTGTATATTACTGTTTATAGACCACTTTCTCATACATTAAAGAATTTCTTTACCCTTCGGTAACAAATATGGGGCTCCACAATAGGGTCCCTGTTCTTTTTCCTATGCCACTCCCCAATAAAATATGAAAACTTATGTGAATAACATATGGGAGGAAAAGTTGAAGCTATGTCCCAGGGTGCCCTGGAAAACCAAAGCACTAGCCACACTGGTTCCTTGTCAGGGATTTCCTGACAGGAATATAGGATTGGAAGACCTACAGGTGTTTCAACTTGGGCTCTCATACAATGATACAAATCCAAGACACATAATGCAGTCTCTATTAGCACATTACATGTTTACAACTTGCCTTTCCCTCTTGTGACCCGGCTCACATCATTTCCTTTCCAAAGCTTTTTCCTGCTCACCGAGACAGCCTGAACTCTGTTTTACCAGTGGTCACTTGACATGGTATATGATCGTATTTACTACGTTGTATTTTGTGTCTTTAGAATCTGGCACTTAGTACCCACTTGACAAATTTGTATTTAATAGATAAAACTTCGTTAGTCCTAATCAGAACTATTACGTAATTTGCTGTTGGCTATAACACAGTAGCTTTAAAATGTTAAGTTTAATATGAAGAGACAAAATTGGTAACTTACTAGAAAAAAAGAATGTCTCACTTACGTAAGCTATCAAAGCTCATTCTTAGATTTCATACTTGTCACTTTGCAGACCTGGTATTGCATTGCTAATTCACATTAGAAATGTGAAGATTCAGGATTAGTTTTTCCCCTGGTAAACAAGAATATTATTTTTGTTTGTTTTACTGCTTTCAAAATGTCCAGTTCACTATGGTGGAAGTGAAGGGTGCTCTAGCACAACCTCAATTATTCAGATGACTTAGGAAGGTGTTTGGGCCTACCTCTCCAAAATGGACTTTTGGACTAGATTATCCAGAAAGCCATCTCATTCCTCTGCCTCACTTTGCCATTCAATGTTTGGTTCCTAAATGCTTGGTAAATATCACTGTAAAAACAGTGCTGTCAGATTTCTCCCCTGACTTTTGCATTTTGCTGCCAAAGGTCTGTAGAGGAGCTTGACGGGAGCTGGAGGCCGAATATCTAATTCCTAGAACAAGCATGACACATACCAGGCACTCAAAAATTATTTGTCAAATGATTCAGTGTGGAAATACTAGGACTGAGAGAACTTTACCATCATAATCTAATGAAATTTTATTCATAAACACGACTTTATTTTGCATATCCTATGAACTTTTATTCTAAATGAGCTGACCTCAGATTTTTGCTAAGTACTACTATATCATTTGGAAGTCATTAAAAAATCCAAGTGTATCTCACAGCTATTTGAAGAGCTAGAGCGATACAGAGCTCTTAAATTGCAAGAGAGGAATTCAACTTACCTCATTCTCATAACACTTGCTTTGATTCTGATACAGCTAATTAGTTGCTTAAAACTTAGTCACCTGACTTCTGAGATTCAAGAATATCCCCTTTGATTCATCCTGTAGGACTTGGACCCTTAAGAAATACTGAGCCACCAGGCAGAACTAACCACTCCCTTCTTCATGTATTCCAAGTATTTTCTACAAAATATGTCATTTCCCTTCTCCTACTGCATTTATATACTAGAGCATTTGGTTTCTGATTGGGATGGGGACTCTTCTGTATTCAGCATGCAGAGAGCACCCAGTTAGTGTCCAAAAGATATTTGTTAGAATAAACTAAATGCAATGTAAGAGTTCATTCAAAATGATTAGTGCTTGCAAGTCTCTCTCATGCAGCAGCTGGATCAACCAGTGTTGTAGAACGGTCATGAGCTGACTCCAGGAGGAGACAACCTGGAGAGGGCTGGCCTACTTACTTACTAAGACCCCTCTGTGGGAGGGATTTCAAGGCTGGTTCTGCAGCTGAGACTTAGACCTGAAGCACTACAAGACAGGTATGGAGCAAGTGCTTGTTGCAGGACTGGCTGCTGGGGTGGCATTTTAATGGGGTCTTGCAGTTAAGATTTAGCAGACAGCTGTACAGTTGCTATTTGGGGCATGTGCTGTGACTCCTAAGACTAGGCATCTGGAGGTTTCTGTGGAGCCAAAGCTTCCTATGGCATCAAGGAATACCGTGATTTTGGAGGCGCCATCCAGGGCAGAAGCTGTTACTGCTTTCTCTTTCACCTCAGGTGTTATTTTGAAAATATGATGTATTTTGATCTTACTAAGCTGCACTGTTCTGTTTATTCTGTCTTTAAATGATGGCACTGAAATTACCAGGCACAATTTACAACACTTAGAGGCATCATTTTAAAGGTTCAGCGTCTGAATGCCCCCCATGGATTTGGATTTTCCTGTTGTCTCATCAATTTTAGGTATAACTGCTACTCAGTACCACAATGTATCAAGTTCCCTCATCCAATGGTGTTACATATTGCACTGGTGAAGTTATGGAGACAAAACCTGTATATAATCCCAATGGCTCTTGAAAATGTCTCTGGATCCAGGCCTATCACACTATTGTGTTTTCTTGCTTAGAAGTAGTTGGGGTTAAGAGCTAATTTAGATGAGGGACACCCCAACCAGGTAAATGAAAAGTTCTCCCAAAAAGTCTCTATGAGCATATCATGTGACTACCTTATAGAATCTAAAGAAAAATAAATGTAAGACACTTTTAAGGAGATCTATAAATGAATAACATATGGAACATATCTGTTAAAGTAGTCCAGACTATTTTATACAAGGTATTACCAACTCTTACTTATAGTAAGACATGTAATGACACGTGGTCTTTGGTTAAGGTATTAAAAATAAGTGTATAACTACTCAAATTGGCATTAGTCCCAGGTTTTCAATCACAAATGGACAGTTTTCAAGTTCTGTGTTGTGCAGTACCCACATTAATTGGCACATGCAAAAGGATGAAATCTTGTGGTAGGGGAGGTCAGGGAGCCTAGGCTGACAAGGCTAGTTAAGGCTCAGACTGGCTCAGGACTAAAACCTAAAAGAAAACTGGGGAAGCGGTAGATTCTACTGAAGACTACCAACTGATTTTCCACTGAAAAATATAAAACATAATTAATTAGAATGTTTAAAGGGTATGAATTTAGTCTTTCTGTTCATAATACTGCCATATGTAGTTATCCTTTATGCATGCTTACTATTCATTTAGCAGTCTACTTAGATGTATTTCTAAGAAAATGAGCTTCACCTTATAAATTTTTTAACACTCAAAACCCCCATAATTAATTTTGTCCATAAATGTGATCTCCTTCTGTTTGAAAAAAACTAATGTTGATTCCTATAAATCAGAGCTCCAGGTAGACTTACGATTACCATTTATTAAAGGCTATGCAAAGAACTTGGTTAAGTAATCCTTGAGACTGAAAGGCAGGCCTGCTCCAGTTGGCCCAACTAGTACAGCTGTTACTGTTCAGCAGCTCAGAATAGGATGTGGCTGAGTAGAGAAGCCTGGTGTCGATGGAGCAGAAGCCTATTGGATGTGCATCAAGATCAATTCTATGGGTAGATGTTCTATATTAAGTAAAAGTGCTCATCTAAAGTTCTATGAAGAAGTCAGTGTAATAATTCATATGTTAGCATATATTTAATGTTGAATAGGATAAAAATTATAAGAAAACACTAAAGATCCAATTCTTTATAGATTTATTTGATAAAATTTTATTAGACTAAGATTTTTAGAAAAGGCAATTCAATTTGTTCCCTTGAGAGTTTCTTCATGCACTTGCATAATGAGAGATACCAGTCTTTTAGAGATGTGTTTGGCTTTTTCCTTCTGAGGCAATAAACTTATGACTGAAGTCTAGGGTTTGATTTATGTCAAAGATAGGTGAGCCAAATGGATACCACAAAAGACTTTAACACTGCAGTCTAGCTTCTTCCCTTTTTACTTGCTGAAACTGATCCTCCAAGAAGATGCCCACCCTGAGAGTCTGACCTTGATCCTCTAGGTGGGCAGGTCCTGCTCTTCCTGGTCTCAGGAGACCTTCTGGCTGCCTGTACTACAGCTTATGCCCCATGATACTGTAATCATTGTTTGAGAATTTCTCCCCATGTGATCTTTGAAGGGCAAAGACTATCTCACTCATTTCAGTATACCCTGGAAATCCGTGATATCATTAACATTTATTTCCTATTAGTATATTCTAGGTCCTTGGCTAACACAATACCTGGATTTTCTAGTTTAATCCTCATCCTATGAAGTGGCTATAACTATTATCCCCAATTTGCAGATGCAAAAACCAAGACTCAGAGAGGTTAAGCAACTTTTTAAGGGCATCCAACTAATATGTAATGAAGCAAGGACTTACACTCAAGCAGCATGCACGTCTCAGTTTTAGTGTGTCAATGAATAAATGAAAAATTACTTGCTTGATTTACTGTAGTAGATTCTAGCAGATCATTTTATCTGCTGGGATAAGAGGTGTTAAGAAAACAGATTCTGAATTCAGAAGCTATTTCTGTTGACAACACCAGCACACTTTAAATTATTTAAGAATGATACTAAATAAATATTAACAAAATTATCTTGAACCAATGAATATCCAATAGATTTATCTTCTGATAACTTTTAAACTAGTGTAATCTAGGATTACTGGAGAATATTTGTAGTAGCTACAACAAATAGAAAACATTTTCTATTATTATAAAAACATTTTTTAAAAGCTGGTTTCACCAAAGCCAAAAAATCCCCAATGAGCAACAACAATAAAACTAAATTAGGTCATGTTTATCTGCCCTGAAAAACACAAATCAATACAGCTAGCACTGAAAAATCAATAACTATATGAAAAACTGTCTTGTCTCAGAACTAGTATAGCATCGGGTTGTAAACTCAAGAAAAAAAGAGTAACTACCACATTTAAATCTAAAATTTGTTCCTAGGTTCCTACCTTTACTTCTGCATATTTAGGTTTGAATTTTATTTAAGTGCTAATTTAAAAGGGTTAAATAATTGTGCTTCAAAAGAGAAACATTTCTGGCCACTTCCTTCTCAAAATCACTATTTGTTCACATGCATCTGTTCATTCATACATACAGATTGTTTACTTAAAAATATTTACACTTGTTCCTATAAAGGTACTTAGGTAGGACTGCTAAGGTTAAAAAAAGAACCAATATTTATTGAGTGCTTAAATGTGCCAGGCACTGTTCTAAGTGCGTTACATGGATGGCTTCATTTAGTTCTTCTAGCAGGCCAACTCTATTAGATAAGCACTATTACCCCATCATACAAGGAGAAAGCTGAGCCAGGAGTGGCAGGTCACTTGCTCAGGGCCACACAGCTTAGATTCTAACTCAGCAGCCTGACATTACAGCCTGCTCCCTTAACACTAACTTCTCCCCAAGCAAGTTCCAAATAAACAGAATACGCAGAAGAGCCAAACCTCCTGCTTCTCTTTCACATACTGATCATCCTGTAAGCGGTTACTGAGTGATCGTCATGTACAACTGTGCTAGCCGGAGCATTCAAAGTCTTTCCCACAGTGGATCAGGGCAGACAACAGTCCCACCTCTTCTGGCCATGTGAACTTGTACAGGCTTCCTTTAAGCAGAGGATAAGAAGATCTCAAAGAGTAAGTATCAGATGAGATCACTTATCACAGAAAGGCACACAAATATTATTATAATTATATATTCTCTGCTCTTAAGCTGGGGAAGAAGGATAGGAAATCATGTAAACTATTACAAAATAGTATAGAAAGTTCTATAAAGGAGGTTTTTTTTTTTCGAATTAGAGTCTGGAAGTGGGGGTAGGTGGGGACAGAAGAATAACGAGGAAAGAACAAGTAAATGGCAGTAAATTGAGGAGGGGCTCTAATTGAAGTCAAGTCTTAACCCAGTGTGTCATCACAAGTTTATTTTATATAGTGTGGTTAATAAAAATGCAGATAGTTTGCCATTTGCACCTTTTAGGTGCCAGGCATTGCAATAGGATTTTTCTGTACACTCTCATTTAATGCTCACAATACTGAGGTTTTGACAAGAGCTTACTGTTTTTCTGCATTTGAGTGGGGATAATCGTTATCAGTCAGCACATGTGGGCCACCTACCATGATCTACAGCTTCACTTGGGCCTTTACATTTGTATTTGTGCCATGTATATACACATTTGTATTTGTCACAGTGTAACAAGAGTAACAATACATTGTGAATCTTTAACAAATTCAGAGTCATATTTTTATATTTAAAACAAGCAATAAAGCATAGGTCTGATGTCAGCGTTTCATTGTCCCTAATCTTCTTCCTGTGTGCTAGGTGTTAAAGGAATATTTTGAGGATACTAAACTCCTCTTTCCTTCCCATCCAGAGTGGAAAGCCACTTTCTGCTCTTGCTTTCCCTGTTTCAGTTAAATACCAGCTAGCAGCCAATCTAATTTTCTAAGACAGAAATCTAGGATTTGCTTTCTACTCAGTTCCCAAGTCCCTCTAGAATGCCTGCATTTAACTTTCTCTCAGGCTTATTGTTCTTAGCCAGACCCTCCCAGCATCTTGTCTGGCTGACTCCAGTGATCTTCTTGCTCCCTTGACTCTGAATCTCCTCTCTCCACATATTGGAGCACGGTTACCACTTTCAAACACAGGCAAGATAATTTCATTGCTTGAAACTTGCAGTGGTTCCCCAGTGCCCACAAGGTGAAGGAGGAAGGCCTCAAACCTACCACACCTGAGATTTCAATTTCGGGCCCTTTCCTACTCATAACTTGCAAGGTCAGTCAATGTTCTAGCAACACTGGGCCTCTTGCCCAATCTGCCCAATCTTACAACTTTGGACCTGATTCTCCCAATACTGTGGACTTCCTAGAGTCCATCTTCAAATACACAATTCCCATCTGCTCATGTTTTCTTCAACCTGTTTTACACAATCATTGCTATAAATTATCAAAATTATTTCTTCTGGACTTCCCCTGAATTTTTAAAGGCTCAGGGTTGAGAAATGATGAAGGACTAGAAAGGCAGCTGTATCTGGATGCCTTAGCATGGATGGTCCCTTCACCTATGGGAGCTTCCCCACCCCTCAACACTGGGGACTGAGCAGGCCAGCCTCATGAATGCCCATGAGCTCTGTCCATAGGCAGCATTTCTGCACCCAGTGCTGGGACTCGCTGCCATGTTCTCTAGGTACAATTTCAGTTTCTGTTGAAGAGAGAAATCAAATGGTATATTCATTAATAATGAATAAATCAATAATGTAAAGATAATATTCATGTAGAGTTTCTGCTTTTCTTTAGAAGCATGTTATTCTTCAGAGACAATCAGTGCCCAAGTTTTCACAGGTAATTCTGAATGTGTTTAATCAAATTTAATAGCTCTCAATAGCAAAAACAGTCATGAATAAGAGGACTTATTTTTATATAATAAATAAAGGAAATTGTAATACATTGGTAAGGATAATATAAATGTTTTATTCTATTTCACATGTATATAAGGCCTTTCTGAGACCTTCCTCAATTTATCTCTAAAGTAAGTTTGGACCTTAAAAACAAAAAAGGCAAATTAGCATTAGACCAACCCATGAAGGAGATATGTATGCAACTGAAATTATTGCTCCTAACGTATCAATGCCTGTCAGAATAGAATTCTTATAAAATTTAAGATAAATATGAAAGTATGATGGAAAAGATCTAATGTACTTTGTGGAATCATTCACCTCTATCTCCAAGTGCATGGGCTACACGGGACTTGAACTACACTCCAGCCGCAGTAACACTGAGATGCAATATAATGAGCAGACTGGGCCATGACAGCATCTTATCATCATTAATGGTTTTTAAATTAAGTTTCTAGTTTGGAAGAACTTAACAGTTGCAGCATGTGCTTACAGATTAAAAAAAAATACCTCTTTAATACCAAGGATTGAACGAAAGTCCAAACGATTTTTCTAATCTAAAAAGTCACATTATGATTGCTTTGTTGCCTCTCTTTATTAAAGACCCAATGTGGGCTAGTAAACTGTCTTCTGACAACTTGAAGAGAATACTTTTTACAAATATATAGCAATTTGTTTCTTATTTAAAGTTTAAAAGTAGGGCCAAACTCCAATCCTATATAGGCCTGTGGGAGTCTTCAGCAGTATTCTCATCCCATGCAATCTGATAATAATAGGTCACTCACTCTTGTTTATTTTAAGAACTCTGCCAACAAGTTGGGGTTCTCAACATAAATGTACTCAGATGAAGATATTGTAAATAGAGTATGCAATTGCAAATACAGCCCATTATGATAGAAACTCGCTTATGGTCCTATGAATATAAAACAGCAAGTCAGATGGATATCTCAGATGTAATCCAACATCGTGGACTGCAACAACATTCTAGCTATGATATTAAAATAGCAAACCTTTGCAGAGTGTTAACCTATCATTAGACAGAGTAAATGGCATGGCACTGCCACCTAATTAGTAGTGTAGTTTGCATCTATAAAATAGAATTAGCACTGCTGCTCCTTTTTTATTATTAGTTTGTGTTTCTAGAAAGGTATGACCTTATCTGTATGCTTCTGCTCATTTATGCTCATCCACAAAGGATTTAATTATATTCTTTTAGTTTTCTACACTGAGGAAATTGAAAACTGCCACTTCGAAATTAAAAATGTTGAAGAAATTAGTGAGCAGATTATTTACGCCATCACCCTTCTTCTTTCAGAGATAAAGACTGGAAACATGTGTGAATAAATAGGGCATAAATTTTTCAAAAAAGAAAATTCTAGTCAAGGAAATTATTACTAGCCTTCCTTTCCTTTTCCCCACATGGACTGTCCCAAGTTTCTATAGTTGTTTTGGACAGAACTAGCTAAAGGGAGAGTATACTAATACTACAAGACTCCTGAAAGTTCTATAAATTAGGGTCAGCAGGCAGAAAATATCAACTTACATCTGAGGAAGGTGATTCAAGAACAATACCGAATCCTAGGACACGGCTCTCTTCCATGGAGGTGCACTCTGTGGCTTGGAGTTCAGGCTGCTCCGTGGTTCCTGCTGCTGGCTTCTCAGTTTCTAGCACACTGGGTTTCTGTTTCATAGTAACAGGCTCCACAGTCTTTGGGGGCACTTTTCTCTTTTTATTTCTCTTGCGTGAGACAGCAGTTCGCTGAGAGCACATAAGGGAAATTGGGGGTTGTTGTCTGTTTTGTGTTCCAACTGTGAACAATAAACACAAATATGGTACAGGCTCTTGTGTCTAACTGAGGAAAACTTCCCTTAGTCTACCTCTGTGATTTACAAACTGGCACTGCAGTGAGGCATCCTCCAGGAGGAAGGACCCTAAAATAAATCTCACTCTGAACCTTAAGGTTGCCAAATGCAGGCTCAGGGCACTTTAAAGTCCTTATAGCAGAGAAACACCCAGGGGAAAACTGTGTTCCTCTGTTACTGCCAGCTCCAAGAGAGGCAAAAGATTAAGAGCTATATGAAAACATCTGAGCATGACTTCATCAATCACGTGCCATTCTTAACTAAATGAAACTCCAGAACTGAAATTTCTGGTAAGTCCATTTCAGGAATATTCCCACTATCACATGGAGTTAACGTGATCGATTGCTAGCAACCTACAGCTGACAAATGAAACGATGATCATTTGGGTAAGATGACCAACAGAAGAGTTTGGAAAGATTCTACTTAGAACAGGAAAACATGTGGGGACAGACTGTGAGTCATTTAATCAGACCAGAAACCTCTTCCTCATCCATTACTCTCTGTACATAAACTACGTCCAGGGTACCATGTTACATGGTGTCAGACGAGGCCTCTTCTCTAGACCTCAGTTTTATAGTTGAAGAGTAGGAACAATATAGTTCTGTAGTGGTCAAGCAAATTAGTCAAATCTAGAAACAGTTTGTGTTCTAAAGATGAAAAGCATAGTACAAGGACTAAGCACTCATAAAGAATCCAAGGTGGCACGTTTGGTTTCTCAGGTGCACTCTGCGAAGTAATATTTGTTAAACATGTGAAAATACTCTGATAGAATGTGAAATAGGAAGACATGGCTTGAATTTGAATTAAATTCTCATGTATTAATATGGTTTCCTAATTAGACCACAGGCTACAAAGAAACCTATGAATATAAGCCAAGTAAAAATTAATGGCCTTTAAATGCATATGAACATGGAACACTTCCTCTTATTTCCCGTCAGTATGACAATAAAGGATATGTATACTGATCTTGATATCTTCATCTCTAGACTAGAAGGTAATTTATAAGTATTGGAAACAACTACCTAAAAAACTAAGTTGTTAACCACTCTTGTGGTTAATTGGTCTTCCTGGCTCCAGACCTTAACTACACATGAGAATCACTATAGAATTTTAAAATATTTTCCAATGCCTTAGCCCACCCCAGACTAAGTGAGCTGGAATGTCCAGGAGAGTGTGTGTGTGTGTGTGTGTGTGTGTGTGTGTGTGTGTGTGGTGGGAGGGAATCTGGATTGTTCTAAAGTTTCTCCTGTAATGGTAGCAGACAGCCAGAGTAGAGGACTTCTCTCTGCTCCACTCACGTTTTCACTTCAGGCTGGGTCTGTGTCCAGTCCTAGGGTCAAAAGGACGCCAACAGCAATGATCAAGCCCGCCTAAGCTGCAGAAGTCTCTGAGCCTCACTTTTTCAAATGAAAAACGAAGATGTTTTTGGTTTAAAGGACACAGGGACTATCTGAATTTTGCTTCTCCATTTGCAAGTCTAGACAGAGCCCAAGTTTCTTGCATGCAGATCTTACTGCTTGATCTTACTCCTTTCATCTTAACCTAAAATAAAGGTGAAACTTTCAAAATATAATTTAAATCTAAGTCTTACAGGCAATAAAGCTTAAGCAAATCTGCCCACACAACACAATTTTTTTAAGTTTAAGAAAATTAAAAGAGTAATTTATTCAGTTTATCCTTTATGCTATCCATAGTTCTGGAATCATTTACCTCTCTAATCTGCAAAGATTCAGAAAAGAAAACATGGTGACAAAATGGCATTTACTTAATAGATTCTAAAAAGGTTTCAGTCATGGATTTAAATGGCTGCAATTTGTAGTTTGCCATTTCAGTACTAAGGAGCTTAAGTCACAAAATAAATCATTACAATTTCATATGCATATTTTCTTAAGTGCTAACAAATTCACCCTCTGAGAAAAGAATCCATATAGAAGACAGTAACCTTTCTTTCTGAAGTCCCTTTTTTAGGATGTGGTAACCTTTGCCAGGTCAATAAGAACACAGATTATTGTAGTGGAACAGGGTGAGTCAAATGTTTACTGACCTGAGCAAAATGCTTATTTTTGCCTTGGGATAGGACCAAATTCAGTACTTATTTAAAAAGATGTCACACTCCAGAAAGCCTTTACCTCACCTTCTTTTAATAAGATCTTGGGGGACAGATATATGTAACTATTAAGCTTTCTATATCAAAACCACATCTATGACTATTAGGATTTTACTAAAATTCAATCAATGGCACCAAGAGCAGTTTCTGAGCGAAGACTTTTCCAAGTGCCACTGTGGTGAAAGGATAGGAAGGCCAGTCTTGATGAGCTGTGCTATTTTCCTGCATCAAGTAGCAGTTTACCCTGACAAGAGCAAAGGCTTAATAAATTGATTTATTATGTCTTGTACCTGTGACAAAAGCAATTATTCCCCCCTAATTTATGGAGATTACAAAATGAGTCACTAAAAAAAAAGACTTTGATTTCAACCAAATGCTGCACAGCCTTAAAAACATCAGTGAAACAGTTTGTGCTTGTGTCATGCCTTACAATGTTCATTTGCTATCTCATTCTAACTTGAAAACAATGTTGTGAATTAGATACTAATATTCCATTTACAAATGAAAACCGAGAGGCTCAGAAATCATCCAGCTAGAAAGAGAGAAGCTGGGGGTTCAATCCCTACCGCTACAACCCCTCTTCTATTCTTCACCTCACCCAACAGCAGTGAGGGGACAAATGTGAGGTGTCTCTGAGCTCCTACGTCCTGCCTGTGAAAGAAAACAGTCACAAGCAGAGCCTGAGGCTCAACACTTTTCATCTGCTCATGTCCTTGACGGTGAAGCCAGACTCCCTAAAAAGCTCTTCCACATAAGATATTCCAAAATGTAATTAACTGACATTTGTGAAGTACCAGGAGATCATGCAATGAAGTATATTGAGAACATGTGCATAAGCATGTGAGCAGTATTGGGGCGATAAAAAATTATTTGATTTGCTAAAGAAAAAGCAGAGAAAATGGGAATTTGAAAGGTAAGGCAAGACAGCAAGGTGGGAAGGATTTCGTAACAAAAGCACCATGAGCATCCCAAGTAAAGATGGCAGACACGCATTAACAACCAAACGACACGTTCAGAGGGCTGATCTTTGTACCTGCTTGGATTTGCATTAATTTCCTCATGGTCTTGAGTTCTTGGAGAATGGCCTGCAATGTTGACTGGCAGTTACAAGTGCAGCAGTTTGATCCGACTGATGAATTCACCACTGGAAGTTCTCCTAAGCATGAAAGAAAAGAATGACATACTCCCAACACACAAAAAATTACAAAGAGAAGGAAAAACAGAAGGTATCTTGACATGATTTTGAAATGTATGCAATTATTATGAAAATGTATCCAGTAATTTTCACAGCCTAAATTTTGGAGTCTGACTTTATCTAATTACCCAGGCTTATGTGTTGTAATGTGCATGCTGTGTCACAGGTGGCAGGGCCTGTGTGAACACAGGTACACAATATGCAGCCACGGCAGGCCTCCCTATTCTTAGGCTAGTTCATCTCAATAACAGTACCCTAAAAAATTACTATAAACACACCCATATTAGTTTGTACAAAAAAATTTTAAGAAGTATCTCTGAGAACAGCTTTACAAAACAATAGGAGGCTATAGATATTCAGAGTTCATATTAAGAATTAAGTGAGTCTATTAAAAATAGATAAACATTAAGCATGTTAGTTTAAAAATGAAGATCTGTGAACTCATGAAAACTTCTAGAGTACTTGGCTGGAGTGTGCTGGGGGTAGGGAAAAGCAGAGAACAGGCTAGGAGAGGATGTCTTTAAGCTTGATGGGTTAGACGGACCTCCTCTTTTATTCTCTCCCATTTTTTACATTCCCCCTTACCACAGTCTCATTTTCACTGATTAAATTAATTTTCCTTAATAAAATTATTGTTTCCCTTATACATAAATAATTATCTCTCTACTGTCCTTGAAAAAATGGAAAAGCACTATGACAGCTGGATGCCCTCTACCACAAATGCTCACTACCAGAGATTGGAGTAGTTGAAGCTACTACTTAAGTTTTCTGATAGGTGGGTGAGGTAAGTTCTAAGGTGATTTTCCAGTTAGACATTTTATTATACATTGGATATAATTTAAATCCTATAGTATTATTTAGTCATGAATATGGTAGAAAAGTTGACCATGCCAAAACCATATAAAGATAATGATTGGAGTAGCACAATTATTTACATTCAAAATTGTAGCAAACTGCTGCAAATGATTCCAATGAAACGCTAAAGTAGTCACAGTTATGTAGAGTGATCCTTAAACAATGTGGGGTTTGGGGCATGGACCCCCCTGTACAACTGAAAAACCATGTTTAAGCTCCCTGCAGAGGCAAGAAATTATTCCAGTCATATGGTATATAATTAAGTATATACTATACTATACTTAATTTTATGCAGTTATGATTTCATACTGCATTTTACATTTGTTTACATTTCTCTCAACTGCAAAAAGGGTCAAGCACAGTCTACAAGTATATACATATGTCTTTATAAATTTTAATTTTTAATAATAGATTTGTATATACTTTGGTACTAAATGACAAAACAGACTATTATCTACATATATTTTATGCATTCATGACTAACTTGAAAATATTTTTTCATTACTTCTAGGCTGGAGGTTCAGCTGAAAGTTTGCTCAAATTGTCAAAAATCTAAAAAAAATCCTTCTATGAATGGACTTGTATAGTTCAAACCTATGTTATTCAAAGGCCAATTGAATAATGCATTTTTATTAAAATAATCAAGGAATAATCACAAAAAGACCTATTTTCAAACTGATATGGAAGAAATTTGTTTATAACTTCTGCTAACATTAACAACATTTTTCAAAGTAAATCTATCATCTTTGTATACTGGAAAGTAGAATACTTGTTACCCAAAAATTGCTAATGTGGGGTTCATCAACTCTATACATACCTAAGGGCATTTTGCTCCTTTTACTGTCTCTCCCATAGCAGTACACTCAGGAGGGCTTCACAGAATATTTGTAGGCACTAATCTATCTCTGTGATTTTTAGAGGACAAAACTAACCCTTCTCAGCTCGTTACAAATCATTTTCTAATTTTAAAGAGAACTGACTTTTTATTTTTATGGAGGAGCCTTTAAAGAGCCATCTCCCTCTATCCTGGAAGCATGCCAGCATGTGAACTTGATACCAGCCTATGTAATATTGAGAGGAACAGAAGATACTGCACATCCCTGGGGTCCCTTGCTGTCTCATCAGTGTCTCAGGATGGCTTTTCATGCCCCAAACTGTTTACTGTCAATTGCATATTTTTAAAAAACAAAACAAAATACATCAAAACAGTTTTCTCTTTCTTGAAGGATATAAAATGGAAATAAATAGAAGAAAATCCTTAACTTTTCAAGGCAACTGAAAATGCCTTCTTTATTTTTTCATTGTTTGTTGTGAAAACAATAGATCTGAACATCTATATATAATTTATAAAGCAACATCCAATGTCACTGGATGGAAAATTAATGTGACCGAGAAAAGCATCAATTCGTTTTTCTTAAGGTTTGAAAAACGTTGTCATTTTTTTTTTCCTTTAACAGTTAGGGGATTTAAGGATATTTTACTTTAAAGGAAATACATCTCAAGCTGGGGGTGTGGTTTAAGTGGTAGAGTGCCTTCCTAGCAAGTGTCCTCAAACTTGAGTTCAAACACCACTACCGCCAAATAAAGAACTAGAAAGGAAGAAAGAAAAGGAAGAGAAAAGGAAAGAAAAAAAAGCAAGCAATAGTTCTCAGTGCTAATGAGGCAAATTATAAAATATAATCAGCACTGGAGTATGAAATAGTCCTAGCACTGGAGTAGGGGTTACAGAGGGAGTGTGAGATGTAAGGTTACCAACCCTCCCTCTAACGCACTCTTCAGATGAGGAAGCAAAGCAAAGGAGTAAGCAAGAGAATATACTAATACTCCACACAACCAGGAAGCTTCTCGTAGAGCTAAAGCAGAGCTTTCTCTGCCCTAATGTTTAGTCTTTTATAACACCTGGATATCAGCAGATGATAGCTGTAGCTTCTGAAAGGACTGAAAGCTCACCTAGGAAATCTTCATGTCTAACAGACCCCATCTTTCCTGATTTTTGGTTCTGGGTTTTTTACATACTTCAACTTTTCCCTTTACATCTTCCTTGACTTAAAATAATTCAGTGAAGATGGGTGTTAAGAGAGGGTCTAATAAATTGAATATTTAGAAAATAAACAAGCCAGGACAACCTCCCCACCAATATTCTGAATATCTGATGATAATCATACCGTTGGAGCTCACAGCAGTGTGGGGCTGACTCTGGAAGGTTCTAGAACGGGTGCCATACTGTCCTGGGAACTGCCCACTTTGGGGTGGTAGCTCATTCCATGTACCACGTGAAGGAGGGTGGAGGCTCTGAAGGGCCTCAGCAGAGGAATTCAAACGCTGAGGCCAAACTAAATCCAAATCCTGGGGCTCTTCTTTTAACTTTTCTCCTTCTTTGCCAACACGCTGATATATCCTCCCAGTGCTGTCATTCAGTAATCTTCTCATTCCTGTAATTTGTTTTTTAATTTCCATGCTTTCATCTCCTAATGGAAACAGGGCCAAAGTTAGCACTGTAAATTAACAAAAGGAAAAAAAAAATCCCACTATTTAAAAAAAAGACCCAAATTAAACAATCCTTCTTTGGAAATGGGAAAATTATTGATTCTATAAACTTAAGTAATTCATAAAAGTTAAAGGCAGGAAAAGTGGCTATCATCTGAATCACCAATCATGGTCCTGTGCATCTCATTTTAATCTTTTTCTGGCCAAGTTCCCTTGCAATAAAAGAGCTTTCCTTAATCGGAAACAGACTTTCAATTCCCTCTTTGGAAGCGTTTTCTGAGTGAGGGTGTCATAAGAAAACCTAACAAGATAGAAGAACAAGGATGGGACTAGAAGGTTCGAGTTGCCTGCCCAGCCCCAGCCATACAGATGTAATGGATATGGAGGCAAGGCAGGTGACACCACCATTCAGCTTACTCATCTGTTAGCCTCAGCAAGCAGGTGCCAAAGCTACAACTATGTTACTTGTGGGGATGAGGAACTTTCTGAGAATGGGCCAGGTGGCACATTAGGAGCACCAGGGTCAGCAGACACCATCTAGGATGCCACACCATTGGTGGAGACATTGCCTTCAGAGCGAGTAAGAGGAGAGAGAGACCTACTGAGTGTCAGCATGGTAAACAAGGAGTATTTTTCCCTTCTAGTGCCCTGAATCATGGTACACAGTCTGGGGTTGTCCTGGGTCTCCTGTCCATTCCAGGTAACTGGTGGTAGGACCTCCTGAAGAGCAGAAGTACAGTCTCCCTGCTTTGCCCTCCACTAAACCCAAATCTACCACCCCAGACCTGTTCCTCCTAAATCTACTGTTAGCTTTTCCATACCTTTTGTAACTTCATAAAAAGGTAAAAGACTGTTTCTAAAACCCACTTCACCTACACTGACTTTTAATTATGGTAAAACTCACACACCACAAAATTTACCATCTTGACAATTTTAAGTGTACAGTTCAGTAAAGTATACTCACATCATTGTACAAGCAATCTCTGGATTTTTTGTGGGGGTGGGGAGACTGGAGTTTTAACTCAGGGCTTCATGCTTGCAAAGCAGGTGCTCTACTGCTTGAGCCACACCTGCAGTCCATTTTGCTCTGGTTATTTTGGAGGTGGGGGTCCTGCAAACTATTTGCCCAGGGCGGCCTTGAACCATCATCCTTCCAATCTCAGCCTCTCAAGTTGCTAGGATTACAGGTGTCTGGCTACATTGACTTCTTTACTAAGATTCTTTCCTCAAGGAATTTTCTTTTTAACTAATGTATCTCTGCACTGGCCTGAGGACACTTAATAAATAAACATTATTTAAAAATGATTACAGGCTGGGTATGGTGGTATAAGCCTGTAATCTCAGCTACAAGGGAGGAGAAGGTAGGAGGATCACAGTCCCAGGCCAGTCCAAGCAAAGTTAGCGGGACCATATCTGAAAAACAAACTAAAAGCAGAAGGGCTGAGAATGTGGCTTAAGTGAAAGAGCACTCCAATCCTCAGTGACACACACACACGCACACATACACACTGTAAAACTGCACCGACTTCTCTACCAATATTACAGGATACCATTATCTATTAGAAGATAGTTCAAGCATTTGTTCCTTTTTTGTGTGTGGTACTGGAGATAGAACCTAGGACCTTGTGCATGCTAAGCAAGAGCTCTACCGCTGAGCCACAAACTAAACTGAAACTGCAAGTGTCCTTGCAGAGACTGAAGCATCTTTTTTCTCTAATCCAGGTATTAAAGGTCTTAAGTCAATATGTGTATTTATGTCTATTACAAAAAACATACTTCTTGCAAATAAATATATAATGGTGTTTCAATGCACTTAACATATAAACTAGATTTCTATAGAGAACAAAAAAATATTTATTTTGTATTATCTAGTTAGATATTTAGTTTATTAATATATGTATTACTTTGCCAGGTACTGAATAAGGAAATTTATACAGTTTTTTTGTTGTGGTACTAAGGTCTGAACTCAGAGCTTTACACTTGCTAGACAGGTGTTCTACCATTTGAACTATGCCTCCAGTCCTTTCAGCTCTGGTTATTTTTGAGATGAGGTCTCAATTTTTGACTAGGCAGGCCTGGACCATGATACATTCATCATCAACTTCCCTACATAGCTAGGCCAATTGGCATGCACCACCACACCCAGCCTTTTTCCATTGAGATGGGATCTGAAAAACCTTTTTTTTGGTTTTGCCCTGGCTGGCCTGGAATTGTGATGTTCCAGATCACAGCCTTCCATATAGCTTAGGATGACAGGCACATGCCACCATGCCTAGCTATTAGTTGAAATAAGGTCTCACTAACTTTTTGCCCAGGCTGGTCTCAAACTGTGATCCTCCTTATCTCAGCCTCCCAAGTAGTAAGGACTACAGATGTGAGCCACTGGCACCTGGCTATACAATATTTTGACACAGACATCTTCAAAAATTTTTGGCTGCTGGGGAATCAAACCCGGTACTTATTCACACTCAGTATGGGCTCTACCAGAGCAACAGGCCAGCTTCTCCATTTTTAAAAATGGTAATAGAAATACTAATTCCATCTTTAATATTTTAACTTGGTGAACAGAGAAAAAACAGATTTCCAAATTTACAATATTATATATATTATATGTTAGAATATTCCAGAGAAGAGAAATATTTTAATTTGTAATAAAAATATTTCTACTTCAAACACCAGTGAAAATTGTAATACAGAAATAACAAATCATACTCCAGATTTTATGAGAATGAATGACCAAGCAAGATTTAAATAATACAGAGTCAGCAAACTTTACACCATCCATACCATATCTACAGAACAGGTTGTGTCTGGAAGAACTCCCAGAGGAGTTTTGGAAGAAGCTTACAAGCAAATGTGTCAGTATCCAAACACACACTTCCCTGGCTAGTTAGTTACTTGCACAATTCAGGCAAGAGGAAGCATCTCTCCTATGTGGTTTCCACTCCTGGACCCCTTGACCATGCCTGATCATGGTACATCAAAGGCTGCATACAAGCTGGTCTTCACTGGCATAGGCTGATGACCACCTGTCCTCTCACTTGGGACTCCCTGAAAAGAGCTGCCCTCAGCCAGGCCCTGCAGGGTCCCAAATGAGTGCCCGCTTATCTCACCATACTAACACTACCCATTGCAGGAAGAGGGATTCTTCTCTTGTCCAAGGTTCTACCTCTGATCTGGAGATAGAATTCTATGATTAAGGGGTACCAGTAGGAAAAGGAAAACAGTCATGATGACTCTGGAAACTTCTGAGGGCAAATCTGATTCATCATGACTTTAGAGTTCTAGAATTTATAACTATGAAAATTATGAGAATGAAAATACAGTTTGAGTTTTGCATAACTTTCACATTTTCATGTTGAAGACCAGAATCCTAAGCTTCAGGCAGAGATGAGGAAAGAAGGTGAAAGGTATAAAGAAGATTCTGGTGGTGGAATCTTCAATGTTCAGAAAAACGTCTTCTAAAGGCAAAACAAAACAAAGCTGGACTTGGATTGTGGAGGGTGAACAAGCAGCAGAGCTCTGAAGGAAGACAGAAGGGCAGAAGCGAGTATGACTGACTTTACGAGGAAGAGAGCTCAAGGTTTATCTGACTGAAGACATTTTAAAGGACAGAAACCTACAGTAATTGCAGTAATGTCTTCTGAAAGGGAAGCTGAGAGAAGGGGAAGGCTGAAGAAAGGGACCTTGGGGGAAGTTTCTTAGAGGAGACAAGCTGGACTTCCTCATGGACAACTGGGCATTTGGGAATGGTCTCTGGGGCTAACTGAATCAAACTCTGTATCCAAAGAAGCAAGGAGGAACTAAGGCCATAACCCCTGAAGGTGTTCCCTGGGTGGAGAAGGTCCTGGGATCAGTTACATCTGCAGGGAATGAGAGGCTTTGGCAGAGAAAAGGAAAGAGCTTCCCTTATACATCTGGGAGAGAGAGGGCAGAGGTCAGAAAGGAGACCTGAAGAATAAAGCAGGGATCACAAAAAAAATGTGAGTTAATCTACAGAAAGTAGAATCATACAGAAAGCTGAGCTGCAGGTGGTTAGACAACAGATGTTAGGTGATACAGCAGGAAGGCTGGGCTCGTATTCCTGAGATCTGTACTTGGTCTCAACTGCACTGACTTGCTTCTGGCTATTGGGCAAGTCAGCATTCTCAGGCTTCAGTTTCCTAAATCACACAGTGAAGGTTTGAATCAGACCCCAGGGCTACACAGAAGTAGTCTAAGAAGGACACAGGTTTTTCATAGTTTTCAAGATGTGAACTAAGCAGTTAATAATTCTAAAATTTACGTGTCCTCAAAAAAAGTTGCTTATTCTATCACAGCAGGGCCAAGGGCTTTGATTTTTTTTTAAATGGTACAAAGCATATGAAACTGTGATTTGATGCATCAGCTGATGTTGTCTTTCCAGTTGTAAAAATTCAGTGTCTACTACACAGAGTGTCTACCCCGTGTATAGATAACTGGAAAAGAAAAGTTAGAAGCAAAGAGTTATCTAGAGAAATGACATTGTGTAAGGAAGCCTGTACACTTTTCCTGATTTCTTCCTGAGCCTATCTATAGTCTTTACTTACGTTAAAGGTTGAGGAAAAACAAACAGAAATCTTACTTTATTAGAGCTGTGCCATGTGGCTACATTATTGGTGAAATAATCTTAGCTGAATTCCTTCCAAGAGTTTGCCATCTATATTCCATGATCGATGTCTAGAAAAGATTGCAGGATAAATTCTACTCTTCACTAAATTTCAAGACTCTATTGAATCACTTTTCTTTATCAGAAGAATTTATATGATCCAGAGTCTTGCATGATGCGATTAAGTATGAAGGCAACACAGAAGTCCCCCCACAAAATCTCCATTAACTTGGCCAGGAAAGAAGGATTCTCTACACAGGATACACGACACAGAACATGATTATTCATTCATAGCCTGGAGAAATGAAAGAAAGATGATAGCACACAAACATGCAAAGAGCAGCTGTACTTAAG